GATGACAACGAGGAGGGGGGGAAAGAGAAGAAGAAGAAGAAGAAATGTGGAGAAGGAGAGAACAACAGAAAAATAAAAATTTGCTGGTAACTTACCTGCGCGTCGGCTTTGGGTCGAAGTCGTGGCAGCGACGAGGAGTTGCTGACGTGGCGTCGGCGGGAGGTACGAGGCGCTGACGAGGCAGCGATGGCAGCGATGAAGATGATGACGAGGGCGATGACGTGGCGGCGCTGAAGACGACAATGTCGATGACGTCGCACTGTCGGAACAGGGCCGTTTGCCGCTCCGATACCAGTGTGACGGGACTGAGGCAGAGCAGAGAGGCTGGGGAAGAGAGAGGGAGAGAGTGAGAGCACACACACACAGTCACTCAACTCGACACGGACTCGACACGACTCGACGGACGCAGACACAAAGTGGCAAAGTCACAAAGTCGCAGTCTTGGATTCCGAGCACAATGTGGCAGCAAGTCACACTGACGCACAAGCACTTCGGCCGAGAACTGAGTGCCCGAACTCAGCTCGATTCCGGTCTTAAGTACCGGACTCAAGTTGAGTCCCGACCGCAGAAGTGCAATTTGCCTCGGGGCTGAACTGAAAATCGAAGGTCTGAGTCTGGGCACCAGAATGCCGGATGGCACCAAGTATCAAAATCCGAAAGTGCCAGAGGAGGGATTTGAGAACGGGCGCCAACTGCAGGGGGCGCCAACAGTCAGGAACCGGAGATCAGAGACTCAAAATAAAATAGCAGCCTGGCGGGTGGTAACCCGCGGGCCAGGGATCGAGCCCTGGCTGAGTCCGTAACATTGGGACCATTACATGAAGACGTTGTGCAATTTACATTCTTCAAAATCAGCACACTGTGGAAGGGCTCTGGCTAACCCAAACTGACTTCAGTCAGGGCTCTGGCTAACCCAAACTGACTTCAGTCAGGGCTCTGGCTAACCCAAACCGACATCAGTCAGGGCTCTGGCTACCCCAAACTTAATCAGATTTTAGACTTGGTGAAGTTCACTGACTTCAGTCAGGGCTCTGACTAACCCAGACTTGGTCATGTTTCAGTCCCGGTGAAGATCACTCCCACTTCCGTCCGAGTTTCCACAACTAGGTTGCACAATGTCCACAACTAGCACTGTGCCAGGGCTTCGGCTAATCCAAACTTGAAAGATTCCAGCCTTGGTTAAGTTCATTCTCACTTCAGACCCAGGTTCATGTCTATTATATGAAGACGGCATTGTGCTGTGAGGAATGAGCCCTCGCGAGGCCCTTCTCGGGCATGCATGCAAATGTTCTGGGCTGCGGCCCCCAGAAAGCCTCGTGCCCGCACTAAGTGAAGAAGGGGCTGTACACTTACGAGACCTATTTTCAACATTTTCCGTATGTGGGGTATCAGACAGTTGCAGCACACAAGTTGGTTACAGAGTAACGTGAGCCTACTGTGGCTCCTTCCAGAAGCAACAGCTGCACTGAAGGTTGAGCCCAGTCGAAAATAACACCCCTGGTTAACCACACAGTGGGCAGTGGACCAATGAGAATGCAGCATTTTCGTCACACATTTACCACAAGCCAACGAGAGGCAAACACTTGGAGCCTGGAGGGCTGCCTGGACGTGCCAAACTGCACGATGCCCAGGCCAGTATCTGAAACTGCATCATAGGTAGGTAGAAGTTCGCCTGGTACCCGACAAGAAAAGTCCAGAAGCATCCAGCCGTCCAGCAGTCCCAAGTCCAGTTTTGCAGCATGTCCCAGGAAAAGTCCGGAAGGTGCCGGACCGACAAAAAGTTTGCAGCAGACAGGACATGGCAGACCGGTACCGGTCTGAAGCAGGCCAAGCCAAACGAGGCCAGTCCTATATTTAGCTGCTACAGTGCAGCGCTCATCACTCGTTCAGTTGCGAGATGCGGAAGCGCTGCTGCTGCTTGTGCAATAAGGCAACTTGGGAGCTGCGCGCCTGAAGAAGAAGGGGGCGCACGCATGTGAGATACTCCATAGCTAGGCTAGATGTAGGGTAGGAGGATGGCGGCCATAGCCGCTAAGGTGTGAGCTACCTGAGTGGGTGTATCCAGGGTGACGATCCAGGATAGAGAGCGAGAGGGAGTGAGGCAGAGCGAGCCAAGTAAGAGAGAGAAGTGAGGGGGGAGAGAGAGAGAGAGAGAGAGAGAGAGAGAGAGAGAGAGAGAGAGAGAGAGAGAGAGAGAGAGAGAGAAGCCATAGCCGCCATCTGTTTGAGTTCCGCTGTGCGTGTGTGTGTGCGGCAGAGCCGCTGGAGACGAACATTCTTGTATATTGATAATAATATTGGAGACTACATCTTCGACTGTTGGTTGTATCGCGATTTGGCTTCTCACATGTGCATTGTCATGTGAATGTTCATTGATGCATGTGAAGTTGAACTTGACGAGTACTTGACTCATTTCATATTCCACCTTACACCGCTCTACTTGTCAAGAGTCGGCAGCATATGTGCTGCAAAATTCAGAGGGGGCACATATGAACATGACAGCCTTTATTCACAAGAGATCAGGAGGCCCTAGAGGTCCTGCATCCTTCGTTTCTGAAGCTAACTCCTCAATTAAAGGCAAGCATTGTGGAAAACAATGCCTACATTGTACTGCATCCATAATTGACCGACGCAACACATCTAAACATAGTACACGCTCAGAGCAACATCAGGGCTTCAGAGGTGTACAGGTCAGATGAGGAGAGGTTAGCAAGCTCAAACAACACACCTGGATGCGTGTATTCATCTCCATGAAGTAGAAATCAGAGGTGTACAGGTCAGACGAGGAGAGGTTAGCAAGCTCAAACAACATACCTGGATGCGTGTATTCATCTCCATGAAGTAGAACTCTCCAGACACATCGAGGAGAAACTCAATCGTACCAACACCAATGTAACCGATCGACGATGCCGCGGCCACCGCAGCATCTCCCATCCGCTTTCGGAGCTCTGGAGTCAGAGCGGGGGAAGGTGCCTCTTCCAACAATTTTTGGTTCCGTCGCTGCCACCCAGGCATCAAACAAATACAGAAAGGATCAAATACATGACAACCAATCATCACGATCCACGTGTCTTTTGCGCATAATTCTTGAAGCTGAAGCTCTGCGAACGGCAACAACACATGCAGCAACAACAGAAACACACCCGAAGGCCCCGAACAGGCCAAGAGGGCCCACAAGCCCATTCCAAAATTGGAAAACCCAATTAGGCTTGACAAACAATAATTCACCTCAATGAAATCCATCCACCTGTCCCTTTCATACATCCACCTGTCCCTACCTCATCTCCCACTCACCTGAATGCTGCAGTCACGTTCTCCAAGATGGACGCAATTGCCATGCTTGTCACACAAGACCTGTGACAAACCACAGCATTTGTCACACACCAAACCACCACAGTATGTATTAAACAGCAAGTCGCAAAATGACGATCAAAATCGCAACTCCGCGTACCACGGAGCCACCACAGCATGTAACTTCTTTTTCCTTTTTTCTTTTTTCAGGTTCCCAACTTTCGGCTCGTTATCCATTCTCAGGAGTGTCAGTGCAGTTCCTGTTCCACCAGCAAGCCAAAGGCAATGCGGCATTTACTCTCGGCATTCCTCTCCGTTCTGGCTGAGAAACCCGAGTGGGCAGCATTGATTACTGACGTTAGGAAGGATGTACCTCCCCTCACCCCTGCCTAAATGTAACTATCAGCAAGTCCGCAACTATCATCGGGATCACAACAACATGTACTCCAAGCACTCTGGGTAGTCCATGGACTTTTCTGCAGACTCACCATATTCTGCCTACTCTGTGTAGTCTGTGGACTCTGCGTTCTCTGTGAACCCTAATGCTACAAGTTCCGGCAGGCCGAATGATCATCAAGATGAGAACTCTGCAGACTCTGTGGACTTCACCATACGGCTTCCGGCAGGAAAAACTTTTCATGAAGACGAGACCTCTGCAAACTCCATGTGCTCTGCTGACGGCGTACTCTGCAGACCCTGTGGACCAAACGCAGACCCCAAGTACTGAGGGGTGGAAGACTCACACACTCAGAGAGAGATGTCACTCAGTCAAGACAGGAACCGTCTGCTCAATAACCACATCCATTGGATGTGCGATCTTCAAGACAATGCATCCCTGGCAAATGCTAGTGGAGTAGATATATACGCATATTTCGCTTAGTGCACACTACTGGTAGGCAGACAGGTAGCAGAGGACAAAAAACAGGGTAGTGTGACAAGCTTCTCCCTCCGGACTTCCACTGCGCCAACTGAACCCTCAACTGTCTGTAGACAGTGTAAAGTCCCCTATTGATGCTTCATGCTATCGTCTGCCTCGACACAACATCCAAGCAGCCTATCACCCACCCAGCCCCAGCCAAACGGCTCCACAGACTGTTGGTTCACCACATTCAGCAGCCAGGAAAGCAAACACAAACAGTAGAAAGGGGTTGTGACAATTGTTCACTAAAGTTTCCATCTCTCTGAGACTCAAAAGGAGGCTACCGTCTTTAACCAAATATAACGCCTGCTCATTATAGCTGAATATGTGCCAACTTTCAGTCTAGATACTGCCATAATGACCAGGCTTTATATTCGGGTGAAGACAGTAGGGGTGTTAGAAGAATGTATTTCTGCCAATTGACCATACTGCAAGGAAAATGAGCGATAGTGAAATGACAGAAATCCAGAATGCAAAATCACATTGAAAGCCAGAAAGTCCAAGGCTGTCCAGAAAGCAGAAATGCACTGATATTCCACCAACGGAGAACCACAGCACCGAATCCGAATGTCAATGAGAGCATACGCTCGCCACCACCAACCTCTGTATCCAAAACCCTTGCTCCTACTTGGCGCTCAGCGCCCAGACTACAATCACACAGCTACTACCAGCTTACGAATTGACAATACCTGTTGATGTCAGCGCCAACAACCGAAGTACATGAAGATGTCGACCCTGTAGACCATTGCCAAGACCAGGTACGTGCTCGCACATCATCATCCTCTTCTCTCTCTCTCTCTCTCTCTCTCTCCCCTCCCCCCCCTCCCTCCCTCCCTCCCTCGTCTTCTCTTCCCACTTCTTCCTCTGTGCACACGAAGACCACCACCACCTCCACTGGCCGTCCAAGCCGAGCCCAGCTATGGATGGGCTGGCTATAGCGCTGCCCTCAGCAGCGCCCTGCTTCCTCTCGACGCCCGCGCACACCTGCACACTAGCGCTAGCGCAGCAGCCCGCGAGCAATCGCTCCAGCAGCGCTGCCGCCTCTACACGCAAGTGCCTGAATATCTGCCCCGTAGCCCAGCCCTTTCCTATATGGAAAGTGGCGGGGTGCATTGCCTTCCCCTTGCCCAGTGACGCCGAGTTTCCAGTAGCTTCAGTCTCGGCCAAAGTGTCTGCGCCCAGGCCCATTCAGACTGGCCTGGGACCGAATTGGTTAGGCATGCCCAACCACCCAGGCACAGACGTGCGGTGTTCCCTGCTTCGACCACGTTGCTGGAAGAGCCTGGAAGGCTCACAAATATTTCCTGTTCTCGAGAGCGAGGCGGATGTAACCAACTGGTGTGTGGCAACTGTCTGCCGCCCACCAAGATTTGCAAAAATTGACAAGTTCAGGGCACATTGAGATTCAGGGGGCCGCCTTCACTTAGGGCGGGCACGTGCCTGATGCAGGGCCTTATGCGGGTATGCCGAGGGATAAAGTCCTCTGACTCCTCTCAATACTTTTTTTTTGGGAATTTCTGCAAGTAGGGACAATGGACATACTCATACTAGGACTTCCTTGGATGAATCTCCCCACCATTACGGCCAAATTCATTCCAAAAAAACAGTACTGTGTGAGCATGCCCTAAGACTACACCGACCTGATTACAAAGGATTCTGACGGTGAAAGCACTGTCAAAAGACTACAATTGCAATGACCTGGGTTCATATCCAGGGTTCATTACAACAATTGAACCAACAAAACGAAGGTTCACTACAAACATGCTTCATTTGGACAAATGTCTCATCTGCATGTTCTCTTTTAGGTCTGTTTTGCGTTTTTGTTTGGGTTTCTAACTCAGGCGCCAGTCTCACCCACTCAAGCTCCCATCTCGCCCACTCGAGCTCCAGTCTCTCACCCCTATGTCGCAAGCCTTAGGACTCATCAGTATGTGTCCATTCGGCCTTACGGCGACATAATGCAATGAATACTTGTTATCACTGGTACAGTACACGTCCTGTCGCGCTCCAACCGAAATTCCCATCAACTGGCATAAAGTAAATACTGGACCGGCCACACATAGGTCGGCACATCAAAAGTGCAGCCTCCTTGGGCACGGCCGGCGGCAGCAAGTTTTGATGGCATTGTTGGTGAAATAACATAAGAGGAAAGAGGGGAAGCAAGCAAACAAATCTCAGACAAAGGGCACATTCTATTCCAATGACTTTGCATTCCAATGACATTGTACTATACCATCACTCTAATCATGACGGATGAAGATGAATTTTGAACTGCACAGCACCTGAAACTCAATATGACGAGGGTTCTGAATGTACTTCTCCAAATAAACACCATCGTTCCCAAATGCTGCTCCCGCTTCGCTCTTTGCTTGCTGCACATGCAACAGACACAGAACATCGGACTCTGAATTTCATCTCTACAGAGTCTACACTGAAAATTAAACAGACAGACAGACAGACAGAGAGAACTTCGGACTTAGAGAGAGAGAGAGAGAGAGAGAGAGAGAGAGAGAGAGAGAGAGAGAGAGAGAGAGAGAGAGAGAGAGAGAGAGAGAGAGAGAGAGAGA